AGTGAACTTTACATTTGGTTGACATCGAATTAGCTAGCGGAGACTGTCCTGTTGTCCTACATGGTCCCAATCAGAAGTGGACATCGTATCTGTTAATATTTGGTGTGATTGTGAGCGAGTCTTGTCTAAATTATCAAGTTCAAATCGGAGCGATCTTATTCTCTCCGAGATTAGTGATAGGCTGGCTTTAAACAAGATCCGTTCAGCGCTCGGAGGAGTGACAGCAGCAGATGTGAGTGTAAACGCGATATGTATTACCTTATTCTTGGTTCTTTGGGTAAAGTCACGTAGAAGGGAAACAATAAAATAATAAAAATAATTAAAAAATAAAATTCTCACGACGTTTCGACTGCAAGAAAATTTGCTGTGGTTTTCACACCTGATGATGATTGCTGCTCGTGTTGCAGTCGAAACGTCGTGAGAATTTTATTGTTTTATATTTTTTTATTATTTTATTGTTTCCCTTCCACGTGGTGGTGACTCTACCGAAAGAACCAAGAATATGAATCCCTGCAGTGACGAAAGCTTTAAATCAAAAGGTATTACCTTGTTGATCGCGGCATCTCTCGAGGAAGGTCAGCGACTCGATTAGCTGTGACTTCTTGTCCCGCTGTCTGTTAAAAGCTCTAACAGATATGTGTGGAAACCCTCCCCGTCCGTAGAGGCCGTTCAATCTCGATTTGAAGTTTCCGTGACAGCAGGGATCCATACTCTTTATGGTTCTTTCGGTAAAGGCACCACGTAGGCAGAAAATACAAATTAAATGACGCACAAGGCAGATCTCAAACACGGCGGGACTAATGCCTCCGCCGAGGCTGACCATTGCTATAATGCTGTGGGGGCTCTGATGATGATGTTTTTAACCCCCCGAGACCAAGGTGACTCTGCAAACCTTCGGGCGACTATCAAAGGTTTAGTAATAGGTTTTTACCCTTTTAGCTGGCACAAAAACCGACACCTTTATACAAGGGATCATGTTTGCAATAACCACAACACAAGCAGTGAAAAATGCTAACAAAAAGAGACAACTCTCATAATGATATTGGCACTGTCCTTGAATTTGATTGGTCCACACCCGAGACGGCTTTTCTTAGAGCCCAGTCTCCACTGGTGTTGGACCAGATGATGCCAAAAGGTGTCAGTTTTTGTGCCAGCTAAAAGGGTAAAAACCTATGACTATATCTTGTTACTGGCAAAAGGAGGTCTAAATAATATCAAAGGTTTGTTCATGAAGCCATCCAGATATATAAACATAAGACACCACTTCAACCGAGAAGATGGATACAAATTGAGCAATCATTGGAAGGACTTTATTAACCAGGTGAAACCTTAAATGCTTTATGGTCTTGCCTTCATATCCGCATCTCCTGTTGCTTCAGCTCCCCACTCCCAGCCCCGCCCACTTCCCCTCCCCCCCCCCCCGACATTTTGTCTCTGCTCACCCTTTAATCCGTTCTAGCTGCCCTTCACTCGGCGGTGCTCCACTGGCCCTACCCCCCTCTCTATCTCTCCTCCCTGGCTCCTCCCCCCTCTCTATCTCTCCTCTCTGGCTCCTCCCCCTCTCTATCTCTCCTCCCTGGCTCCTCCCCCTCTCTATCTCTCCTCCCTGGCTCCTCCCCCTTCTCTATCTCTCCTCCCTGGCTCCTCCCCCCTCTCTATCTCTCCTCCCTGGCTCCTCCACCCTCTCTATCTCTCCTCCCTGGCTCCGCCCCCTACCCCCTCTCTATCTCTCCTCCCTGGCTCCGCCCCCCTCCCCCCTCTCTCTTCCCTGGCTCCTCCCCCCTCTCTATCTCTCCTCCCTGGCTCCGCCCCCCTACCCCCCTCTCTATCTTTCCTCCCTGGTTCCGTCCCCCCTCCCCCCTCTATCTCCTCCCTGGCTCCGCCCCCCTCCCCCCTCTCTATCTCTCCTCCCTGGCTCCTCCCCCCTCTCTATCTCTCCTCCCTAGTTCCGCCCCCCTCTATCTCTCCTCCCTGGCTCCGCCCCCCTCCCCCCTCTCTCTCTCCTCCCTGGCTCCGCCCCCCTCCCCCCTCTCTCTATTCCCTGGCTCCTCCCCCCTCTCTATCTCTCCTCCCTGGCTCCGCCCCCTACACCCCTATCTTTCCTCCCTGGCTCCGCCCCCCTCCCCCTCTATCTCCTCCCTGGCTCCTCCCCCCTCTCTATCTCCTCCCTGGCTCCGCCCCCTCCCCCCTCTCTCTTCCCTGGCCCCGCCCCCCTCCCCTCTCTCTCCTCCCTGGCTCCGCCCCCCTCCCCCCTCTCTATCTCTCCTCCCTGGCTCCTCCCTCCTCTCTATCTTTCCTCCCTGGCTCCTCCCCCCCCTCTCTATCTTTCCTCCCTGCCCCCCCCTCTCTATCTCTCCTCCCTGGATTCCTCCCCCCTATCTCTCTTCCCTGGCTCCTCCCCCCTCTCTTTCTCTCCTCCCTGGCTCCAACCCCCTCCCCCCTCTCTATCTCTCCTCCCTGGATTCCTCCCCCCTCTCTATCACTCCTCCCTGGCTCCTCCCCCCTATCTCTCCTCCCTGGCTCCGCCCTCCTCCCTGGCTCCTCCCCCCTCCCTATCGCTCCTCCCTGGCTCCGCCCCCTCTCTATCTCTCATCCCTGGCTCCTCCCCCCTCCCCTCCCTGGCTCCTCCCCCTCTCTATCGCTCCTCCCTGGCTCCGCCCCCTCCCCCCTCTCTGGCTCCTCCCCCCTATCTATCCTCCCTGGCTCCGCCCCCCTCCCCCCCTCTATCTCTCCTCCCTGGCTCCACCCCCCTCCCCCCTCTCTCTCTCCTCCCTGACTCCTCCCCCCTCTCTTACCTATAAAGCCTCTTGTTACAGCAGCCCCTTTTGCCCACTTCAGCAATGTGTTTCTTGCTGTGGTTGTGCCACCTGATGACGGATGCTTGTGTTGCGCCCGAAACGTCGTGATTTAATTCATTTTATACCTTACGTGACTTTACCGAAAGTACCAAAGAGTATGGATACCTGCAGTCACGGAAACTTCAAATCTAGATTGAACTTTCGTGATTCCTTGCAAAAAGCTACAATCCACTTGGCGTTTGAACATCTGAACACGACTTCCGCTTTATTATGGCCAGAGAAGGGTGAACAACAATTATTATTTCTTCAAACTGTTGCTGTGTGTTGTAAAATAAAAACCACTACAGCAAATTACAATTCGGTACTAGTACAGCACTAACCGGTTGTTGTGTGTTGGAGAGTTAAACCCACTACGACATTTACAATTCGTTACTAGTACAGCACTAACCGGTTGCTGTGTGTTGGAGAGTTAAACCCAATACAACATTTACAATTCGTTACTAGTACAACACTAACCGGTTGCTGTGTGTTGGAGAGTTAAACCCACTACAACATTTACAATTCGTTACTAGTACAACACTAACCGGTTGCTGTGTGTTGGAGAGTTAAACCCACTACTACATTTACAATTCGAATATTGTGACGTTTCGCCTGTAATCACAACAACCACAACAACAACCAGGATCATCAGTTGGACAGCCACAGAGTTGTGGATAAATCCTTCTTCCTATTTCGATCTTAGATAGAGGTGGGATTAGCTAGAGGTGGGATTAGCCAGAGGTGGGATCAGCTAGAGGTGAGATTAGCTAGAGGTGGGATTAGCTAGAGGTGGGATTAGCTAGAGGTGAGATTAGCTAGAGGTGAGATTAGCTAGAGGTGGGATTAGCTAGAGGTGAGATTAGCTAGAGGTGAGATTAGCTAGAGGTGGGATTAGCTAGAGGTGGGATTAGCTAGAGGTGGGATCAGCTATAGGTGGGATTAGCTAGAGGTGGGATTAGCTAGAGGTGGGATTAGCTAGAGGTGAGATTAGCTAGAGGTGGGATTCGCTAGAGGTGGGACTAGCTAGTGGTGGGACTAGCTAGAGGTGGGATTAGCTAGAGGTGTGATTAGCTAGAGGTGGGATTAGCTAGAGGTGGGATCAGCTAGAGGTGGGATTAGCTAGAGGTGGGATTAGCTAGAGGTGGGATTAGCTAGAGGTGGGATCAGCTATAGGTGGGATTAGCTAGAGGTGGGATTAGCTAGAGGTGGGATTAGCTAGAGGTGGGATTAGCTAGAGGTGAGATTAGCTAGAGGTGAGATTAGCTAGAGGTGGGATTAGCTAGAGGTGGGATTAGCTAGAGGTGGGATTAGCTAGAGGTGAGATTAGCTAGAGGTGAGATTAGCTAGAGGTGAGATTAGCTAGAGGTGGGATTTGCTAGAGGTGGGATTAGCTAGAGGTGAGATTAGCTAGAGGTGGGATTAGCTAGAGGTGGAATTAGCTAGAGGTGGGATTAGCTAGAGGTGGGATTAGCTAGAGGTGGGATTAGCTAGAGGTGGGATTAGCTAGAGGTGAGATTAGCTAGCGGTGGGATTAGCTAGAGGTGAGATGAGCTAGAGGTGAGATTAGCTAGCGGTGGGATTAGCTAGAGGTGGGATTAGTTAGAGGTGGGATTAGCTAGAGGTGGGATTAGTTAGAGGTGGGATTAACTAGAGGTGAGATTAGCTAGAGGTGGGATCAGCTAGAGGTGGGATTAGCTAGAGGTGGGATTAGCTAGAGATGGGATTAGTTAGAGGTGGGATTAACTAGAGGTGAGATTAGCTAGAGGTGGGATCAGCTAGAGGTGGGATTAGCTAGAGGTGGGATTAGCTAGAGATGGGACTAGCTAGAGGTGGGATTAGCTAGAGGTGGGATTAGCTAGAGGTGGGATTAGCTAGAGGTGGGATTAGCTAGAGGTGAGATAAGCTAGAGGTGGGATTAGCTAGAGGTGGCATCAGCTAGAGGTAGGATTAGCTAGAGGTGAGATTAGCTAGAGGTGGGATTAGCTAGAGGTGGGATTAGCTAGAGGTGAGATTAGCTAGAGGTGGGATTTGCTAGAGGTGGGATTAGCTAGAGGTGGGATTAGCTAGAGGTGGGATTAGCTAGAGGTGAGATTAGCTAGAGGTGGGATTAGCTAGAGGTGGGATCAGCTAGAGGTGGGATTAGCTAGAGATGGGATTAGCTAGAGGTGGGATTAGCTAGAGGTGAGATTAGTTAGAGGTGGGATTTGCTAGAGGTGGGATTAGCTAGAGGTGGGATCAGCTAGAGGTAGGATTAGCTAGAGGTGGGATTAGCTAGAGGTGGGATTAGCTAGAGGTGAGATTAGCTAGAGGTGGGATTAGCTAGAGGTGGGATTAGCTAGAGGTGAGATTAGCTAGAGGTGGGATTTGCTAGAGGTGGGATTAGCTAGAGGTGGGATTAGCTAGAGGTGGGATTAGCTAGAGGTGAGATTAGCTAGAGGTGGGATTAGCTAGAGGTGGGATCAGCTAAAGGTGGGATTAGCTAGAGATGGGATTAGCTAGAGGTGGGATTAGCTAGAGGTGAGATTAGCTAGAGGTGGGATTTGCTAGAGGTGGAATCAGCTAGAGGTGGGATTAGCTAGAGATGGGATTAGCTAGAGGTGGGATTAGCTAGAGGTGAGATTAGCTAGAGGTGGGATTAGCTAGAGGTGGGATTAGCTAGAGGTGGGATTAGCTAGAGGTGGGATTAGCTAGAGGTGGGATTAGCTAGAGGTGGGATCAGCTAGAGGTAGGATTAGCTAGAGGTGGGATTAGCTAGAGGTGGGATTAGCTAGAGGTGGGATTAGCTAGAGGTGAGATTAGCTAGCGGTGGGATTAGCCAGAGGTGGGATTAGCGGTATGCTTCTGCACAAGATCTTCTACAATTGGGGTTCTTACACCTGGTGAAATACAAAATAGTTTAGTTAAAAATTTCACGACTGCCAGCGCGTAAGTGTCCACGTGATGATGATGATGATGAAGCCACCACTTGGGTTGAGCTGCTACGATGATTTGCGATGGCCAGGTCAGTCGGGGCTTCTGAAAAAAACGAGGTTTCTGCTACATGGCAGCTCAATCGGGGGGGGGGCCTGGCAAAATGTAAAACAGCGACGGAGTGACTTTACCGAAAGGTTCAAAGAGAGCGGAGGATGCCTGCAGTCACGAAAGCTTCAAATGGAAGATCGTGGCGGAGTCGTAGTTTTCACCACGGCAAACCACGAACGACGACTAACCAACGTTGATCTGAAGCTGCCGTGCACGCAGGTTCCGGCGGGTAAAGCCATCGCGCGCAGGGCAGGCAAAATAATAAAAGGTCACGAAGTTTCGACCGCAGTTTCTGCCCCCCTGCCGTGGTTGTGGCCCCCCACACCTGAAGACGACTGCTCGCGCAGCGATCGATAATTATTCTACCCCACGTGACTTGACCGCAAGACGAGCCGCTGAGGCAGGGCAGGTTGGATGCTTCTTTTTTGCCAAGGGCCATCTGGATATTTAAAAAACGTCATTCAAAATCGGCAACTTGAAAAAAGTTAGCCCCGTTACGTTCGGTCAAACGTTTTAATTAACTCGGCCACCCCATAATGCGACGGGCTGGAAGTGCTTCTCTACGGGCAAGGCGTGGTGATGATGTTAGCCGGTGTTGGCGATGTTGCTGCTACCCGCAACCGCTTTTCCAGGTTTTAGCTCTCCGAGATTCGTTGGATTTCGAGTTCCCGCCTGCGGTTGCCTTGGCAGGGCCCAGGCCCAAATGATTTCGCGGGACTTATAGGGCCCGCGGGCGGCTTCCTCCCCCATGGCCCCGCCCCCCCCATGGCCCCGCCCCCCCCCCATGGCCCCGCCCCCCATGGCTCCGCCCCCGCTCTCACAGCAGACAGACGGTGCGGGGTCTCGTGGGGGGCGTTGCGGGGCCGACCTTGGCCTGGGCGCCCGAGAACCTTGCGTGCAACGTCAGCGAGGTCTGTGAGGGCGAGGCAAACACAGCGGCACCACCACCACCACCACCACCTTAGCGGAGTGTCGGGCGGAAGGGGGGGCGGGGGGTGGGGCAACGGTGCGCAATGCACGGACGCACGCACGCACGCTCACGCACGCACAATCACACTCACTCAAAGACACTGACGCACACACAGATGCACACTCACACGCACTCACACACACACACAAAGATGAAGACACACCACACACACGCACGCCCACACACTCGCACACACACACACGCACGCACACACACGCACGCGCACACACACACTCGCACACACACACACTCACGTACCCAACAACAACCGCCATTCGTCACTAAGTGGCGGTGACGTCACCATGACGACGATTGTGCCAGGCCATGTGCACCCTGAGGCCACGTGAAGTGTCGAACGCCCGCTGGCAGGAGGTCACGGGGCAGACCCAGCAGGTGCCACGGGTCGACTGACTGAGATGGCTGGCTGATGCACCACCTGTGCCCCCTACTGTGCCAACCTGCTGTGCTTTAGCCACCCGGCGCTCCGCTCGTTGTGAGCGTCGCTCCTCCGCCCTCTGTTGTTGTTGGAGGGCGACTGCCTCCAACTGCCCAGTAGCATCCTTCACGAGCCTCCTCCACAGAGGCCGATCTTGACACCGCTGGTACCAGTCATCGGCAAGTCCACTCAGCTCCATGTCCTCCTGTACCACATCACTCCATCTCTTCTCTAGTCCGTGCTGCGCCCGTTTAGCCCCCTCGATCCGGCCCGAACAAAAGCTGTTTCGGCATGCGGTGGCTGGACATGCGGGCTACATGACCCAGCCAATGCAGCCTTGCCTGCCAGAGGAGCTCACCGATGGGACCGTGCCCAGATCTTTCAAGGATTTGTGAGCGCCTCACACAATCCTGCCTGGTTAAACCCAGGATGGATCGTAGGCAGGCCAGCCTAAATGTTTCCAACCGGCGAAGATGCCCCATTAAGGGGGTCCATGTTTCGCAAGCGTAGAGAAGGGAGGGAATGACTGTGGCCGAGAAGACCTGAAGCTTAGTGCGGAGCGACAGACCAGGTAGCTTCCACACAGCGTTACGCAACCGATGAAAAGATATTGCCGCTCGACTGATTCGGAGTGAGACCTCTGCTGTTAAACTGGAGCCGGTCATAAGCACACTGCCCAGGTATGGGAAACTCTCCACTCTCTCCACAACTGCCCCATCACCGATTGGGAGTTGTGGGGGTGGAGTGTCCGATGGTACAAAATACCCAGGCAGGTGCTTAGTTTTGGTGGGGCTGATGGTAAGGCCCCATCTCTTAGTGGCACGCTCCATTCTCAGCAGCAGCATCTCCAACTCCTCCTCTGAATGAACAGCTATTACCAAATCAACGGCATACATAACGTGGTTGAGCAATAGGGAGCCATCCCTTGACCGCACCCGGGCATCGATCAGCCTCCCATTATATCTGTACCATATGGAGATTCTCCCGGTACAGCTATTGAAGGCTTCACGAACTACGTGGTCAAAATAGATGTTAAATGTGGTAGCCAGAGGACATCCCTGTCTCGCCCCAAGGTGTACAGGGAATGGCTCTGACTCCCGGCCACGTAGTTTTACCTGGGTCCGCTCACCATCATGAAGGTTCTTAATGACCGTGAGCAGAGGGTCAGGGACTCCAAAAGCACGAAGAACAACCCAGAGCCCAGGCCTACTGATGGTATCATAGGCCTTGACCAGGTCAATAAAGCAGAGATGTAGGGCCTGTTGGAATTCCCTACACCTCTGCTGTAGCAGTCGGACAGAAAATATGGCATCTGTGCAGGACCGCCCTTTCCTGAAACCGCATTGGGGCTCCGCAAGCCTCTCCTCAGCGTGCCTGGCAAGGCGATGTTGAATAATCCTTGCCAGGACCTTTCCCGGCACACTGAGGAGTGAGATGCCCCTGTAGTTGTTACAGTCTGTGCGGTCCCCCTCCTTAAAGAGGGGGACCACCAGGGCATCCTTCCAATCCTGCGGAACCCGTACAGAGGTCCAGATTGTTGTTATGATGTCATATAGGGCAGTCTGTGCACAAATGCCACCCTCCCTCAGCATTTCGCTTGAGAGTTCGTCTCTACCCGGTGCCTTTCCTGGTTTCAGACTCCGGATCACCTTCAGTACTTCCTCAACAGATGGAACCTCAGCCAGCCACTCACAGGGGGTGACTTCTTCCAATATTTGAGGCACTGCAGCCTCAGCAGGGTCATCCCCACTTCATGCCACGATGTTTTGCTGGCTGAGTGCTTTCCCCTCCCCCAGGACCTCACACAAATGCTCAGCAAATCTGCAAACATGTTCCTGGGGGTTGGAGATTGGATCACCGTTTTTTCCCCTAATGATGGTAATAGGTGTGGCGCTGCAGGTTACTTTTTTGATGGAGTTAAATAGAGATTTGTGATCACGGGCCACTGAGGCAGACTCCATCTCCTCAGCAACCCGCGACCACCACCCATCCTTGCAGCGCCTCACGGCTCTTCGAACCTCCGAGCGAAGGCTGCGGTAAGCCACCTCATTCTCTGACGTGGGATTCTCTAGCCGATGACAGTGGGCCTGTCGCTTTTTCTCAAACATCCTGAACACCTCCTCTGTCAGCCAGGGTCTCTGGGGAGGTCTGGACCGCCTACCCAAAGCAGCCATTGCAGCTGCATGAGTCACAGTCCTAAACTTCGCCCATTTACCCTCGACATCAGGAGGAATCGGGGACGATGCCGATCCCAGCCACAAGAGATGATGAAATTCTCGCTTGCAACTTTCATCAGATAACTGAGATCAGGCCACTGTAGGTTGGAATGGGGTCCTGGGTGTACACCCACCACCGGAGTGGAAGAATGGCAGGTGCATCTTACAGATGACTAGTCGATGGTCAGAGGGCAGATCAGCTCCACAGAAGATCCTGGTCTCAAGCACATGGGCTCGCATCCGCTGGTCCGTCACTATGGAGTCAAGCAGATGTTCTTGCTTAGACTTGGCATGCATCCATGATGTTGTGTGGATGCGCCGATGCCGGAACAGCGTGTTGGTAATTACAAGCCCATGGGCTGCACAAAAATCTAGCAGCCTCCTACCGTTGTTATTGAGCTGATCTGGCCCATGCCCTCCAATCACTCCAGACCAGGTGCCAGCATCATGACCAACTCGGGCATTGAAGTTACCCAACAAGATGACTCTATCCCGAGGGGCCACTTTAGCCAGCACCTGTGACAGGAGGTCATAGAAGGCATCTGACTCATCAGCTTTGCCTGCATCCCTCCACGGATGTTCGTCTTCGGTGGGGGCATAAGTAACCATGACCACCACTCCTCACCTCCGGTTGATGGGAAGGCGAGCCCAAAGTAGCCTGGAGCTTACAGCTTCCCACACCTCACCGCCACGCTCACACGCCCCCTTCATTCTTTTGTTCAAAAGAAGAGCCACACCATGTTGTTTGGCAGTCTGCTGCCCCGAGTAGAGGACTGTCCACCCTTCATGGTGGCAGCAGCCAGAACTGGTTCCACCGGACCTCCTGAATGCCACAGAGATCCAGGTGGTACCGGTCCAGCTTCCGACAGAGAAGTAGCAGCCTCTCCTCCGCAGTGAGCGTTCGAACATTCCACGTGGCCACACGAAGTGGCTTTTCGTTGTTTCTGGAGGAGCCCCGAGCGTAGAGATTCAATCTCCTGGCTCCGCCAATTGCGGCTAAACGGGGGCTCTGGACGGGTGCGAGGGGCTGGTAACACCTCCACCTTCAAATAATTACCACTAAACTACGACGAAAATATGTAACTAATAACTCGCACACACACACAAAGACACGCACGGACACACGCACACTCACAATCACACGCACTCACACAAAGACACTCACGGACGCACGCACACTCACACGCACTCACACACTCACACGCAAGCACACACACGCACATCGACGACGAATGTACACACACTTACAGGGCAATTAAATTCTGACCCACGGTCTCTACTGTAGACCCTGACACCCACCCACAGTCTCCACTCTAGACCCTGACACCCACCCACAGTCTCCACTCTAGACCCTGACCCTGACACCCACCCACAGTCTCTACTCTAGACCCTGACACCCACCCACAGTCTCTACTCTAGACCCTGACACCCACCCACAGTCTCCCCTCTAGACCCTGACACCCACCCACAGTCTCCACTCTAGACCCTGACACCCACCCACAGTCTCCACTCTAGACCCTGACCCTGACACCCACCCACAGTCTCTACTCTAGACCCTGACACCCACCCACAGTCTCTACTCTAGACCCTGACACCCACCCACAGTCTCCACTCTAGACCCTGACACCCACCCACACTCTCTACTCCAGACCCTGACACCCACCGACAGCCTCCACTCTAGACCCTGACCCTGACACCCACCCACAGTCTCTACTCTAGACCCTGACACCCACCCACAGTCTCTACTCTAGACCCTGACACCCACCCACAGTCTCTACTCTAGACCCTGACACCCACCCACAGCCTCTACTCTAGACCCTGACACCCACCCACAGTCTCCACTCTAGACCCTGACACCCACCCACAGTCTCCACTCTAGACCCTGACACCCACCCACAGTCTCCACTCTAGACCCTGACACCCACCCACAGTCTCTACTCTAGACCCTGACACCCACCCACAGTCTCTACTCTAGACCCTGACACCCACCCACAGTCTCCACTCTAGACCCTGACACCCACCCACAGTCTCTACTCTAGACCCTGACCCTGACACCCACCCACAGTCTCCACTCTAGACCCTGACACCCACCCACAGTCTCTACTCTAGACCTTGACACCCACCCACAGTCTCTACTCTAGACCCTGACCCTGACACCACCCACAGTCTCTACTCTAGACCCTGACCCTGACACCCACCCACAGTCTCTACTCTAGACCCTGACACCCACCCACAGTCTCTACTCTAGACCCTGACACCCACCCACAGTCTCTACTAGACCCTGACACCCA